GAGGAGCTTTAATGCAAAGGCTGGGGGTGCATGCAGCCATCCTGCCTACCAAAATATCCGTGGGGATGCACCAGCCCCCCCATTGATCCCAACCCTTTCCTCCCAGGGCTCCGTGGATTGTCCCAACCTGGAGTTTGAATATGGAGATGCTGACAGCCACAGCACCCAGCTGGCAGGTGGGGGGGGGTGTTTGGGGGTTGCTTTGCTGTTCAGAGCTGCCCACTGGGGAGGTGGGGAGGGGAAAAAAAGATATAAATCCCTTGGGAAATCAGGCAGGCAGATTGGGGGATGGATGCTGAGTGGTATCATCCCTGCGGTGATAGGGGTTTATTAATAGAGAGCCACTCATTCCCAGGGGGCAAGCGGGGGCACAGGGATTACCCCACACCCCGAATTACCCGGGACATGATGACAGGCTTTGGGGAGGGGAGGAATGGATGGCATGTCACCCGGGCTGGGAAGTGTCACCTTTTATCACGGGTGTCATGATGGGTCGAGTCCATGTCCCGGATCTCCAAGTCCAGCTGCTTCTGCCCCGTGTCCATGGTTGTGTCCCCAGCCTGGCTCGACCAGCCCAGGGACTATTTTTAGCTGAGTGTGTTTCAGCTGCATGAGCTGGCCTGGCTGAGGCACTTTTTTTTCATCCAGGGATCCTTCCTCCTTTCTCACAGGACCACTTGAGTCCCCCTATGGTGCTGCTCAGCACCCTAGGACCTACAGGAATGATACGGGAACAGGCAGGAATTAGATAGGAGCAGGGGTGTGGGTGCATCTCCAAGTCCAGCCCCTATTTTCAGGTCCCAAAATATCTGAGCTGCCGGGTGTGAGTTCAGTGCAGGTCTTCCCAGGTGCTCCTGCTATCCCTCCTTTTGCAAACTGGTTTAACTGGAATAGAACCCCCTGACCTCCCAAAAAAACCCAAACAACCAAAACCCTATGAAATTCCAACTGCAGCTCAAGCAGCGTCCCTCTTGGGTAGGAGCGTGGGAACATGGGGATGAAAATGCTGGATTTGGTGGCATTGGGTGGGTCCAGAATGCCCCTTGGAGCTGCAGAAGAACACAGGGATTAGCTAAGGCCTCTGCCCCACATCTCCTTGGGTTGCTTCAGAACTTGGTGATGAGGAGGAGGGTGAAATTCCTCCAGGTCCCTGCTGACCCCTTTCTCCATCAGAGCTGTACAGCTACACTGAGGAGCCCGAGCTCAGCACCAACAGGAGATGCTTCGAGGAGGATTTTCAGGCTCAAGGTACCAGCTCTGGGCTCAGCACCCCTGGGTGAGAGCAGGACCTCCAGGGAGGCACCTGGCTGATTGTCATGTCCCCTTTCCAGTGCAGGGCAGGAGGTGGCTGGAGCTGGATGGGACTCAGCAGAAGGCCTATGTCATGCACCTGCTGGATGGGCTGGAGGTGGTTAACAGGGACAAGAGGCTCAGGGTAGCACGGGCCATCCTCTACCTGGCACAGGGTAAGGACCACACCATCCCTGTCTGGATGAGGCTGCATATCCACTGCCTGGCTTTGGAATGGGAGGGTTGAGAGAAGCCTTCTCCTGGGGTTGTGCCAGGTCTGGGCAGTGAAGCTCCTTCCTGGGATGGTCGTGTGTGCTCCAGGGGTTCAAGAGCAGCTCCCTCCTAACCAGTGCCTCCCTTTGGGCCCCTCCAGGTGTCTTTGGAGACCTCGATAATGAAGGCGATGTCCTGTACTGGTCTCGGCACAACAGCTTCCTTCTGTACCAGCTGGGAACCTTCACTGCCTTCCTGGAGCTCCTCAACATGGAGATCGAGTGAGAGGACCCACACTGCCCTCACCCTCCTTGTCCTCTTCTTTATCTTACTCTTCCTCCTTGCCCTCCTCACCATCCTCTTCATCTTTTCTCCCCCTCCTCCTCATGGTCTTGCTCCTCCTCTTCCTCATCCTCCTCCTTTTCATCTTTTTTCTCCCCACCTTCCCCACCCTCCTCTTCATCTTTTCTCCCCATCCTCCTCACTTTCCTCTCCCCAATTTCTTCACTCTCTACCTCTTCATCTTCTTTCTCCCCATGCTCCTCACTCTTCATCTTTCCTCCCCATCTTCCTCATCCTCTTCTCCCCATGCTCCTCACTCTTCACCTTCTCTCCTCATCCTCCTCACCCTCCTCCTCTTCCTCTTTCTCCCCATCATTTTTGCCCTCTTCTTTCTCCTTCCTCCTCCACCTGAGGACCAGGGAGGTGCCCCAGCCACTGCACGTCCCCCAGCCTGCTGTTTCCAGCATGGCAGACGTGGCCTGGGGCTCAGGGTGAGGAGCAGCCCATGGCTGATGGCAGGTGCTGAGCTTGTCCCCTTCCCCACAGCAACAGCCAGGCCTGCAGCAGCGCCCTGAGGAAGCCGGCCATCTCGCTAGCCGACAGCACGGAACTCAGGTAGCCCCTCAGCTCCCCACCAGCACCTTGGATGGAGACCAAGTGGCATCTGGATGGCAGAACCACCTGCCTGCTGTGCTGTTCTGGCAGGGTGCTGCTCAGTGTCATGTACCTGATGGTGGAGAACATCCGCGTGGAGCAGGAGACAGATCTCCCCGAGTGGAAGACCTGCCGGGAGACCTTCAGGATGGAGCTGAGTGAGCCACAAACTTCCTTCTGCTCTAATGAGGTTCTTTCATCATGGTGGACTGGCAAGGAGACCTCAGGGACAGGGGATCTGCTCTGAACCTCCTCTTGGTCCCTCTCTCCACCAGGTTTCCCTGTGCACACTGAAGAGCCGTTTGCTCTCCTGCTCTTTACCATGGTGACCAAGTTCTGCAGTGGCCATGCTCCACACTTCCCCATGAAGAAGGTCCTGCTGCTGCTCTGGAAGGTGCTTCTGGTGGGTGCAAGCCCTTCCTTCTTCCATAAACTGGTCATTTTGGGAACAGTGCTGACACAGCCTAGATGTTACTTACCATTCCATCCAACCATAATGAGGTTCTTTAGGATGGCAGAGGAAGCTGACAGGAGGCAATTTCTTCTGGAACAAGGGTGGGCTGAGCCACGTGGAGGGTGTGGGGTGGAGGAGAAACCTGGAGAACAAGCCAGTGACCTGGTGTCTTCCTCCTCAAGGCCTGCAGTTTGGCCTCAAACTGAAAGCCCAGCCACCCAGTCCGGGTGGGATGTCTTCTCCTCTCTTTCTCACCTCTCTTCTTGCTCCCTAGTTCACGCTGGGTGGATTTGAAGCCCTGCAGCTGCTGAAGGTGAGGAGGCGGGAGGAGCTGGGGCTGCCACCCTTGCCAGAGGACAGCATCCAGGTGGTGCGCAGCATGCGCGCCGCATCGCCGCCCGCCTGCTCCATCGAGCTGATGGACCAGCAGCAGCAGCAGCAGCAGCAGGC